AGCCTGATCTCTGATGTCCCTTGGGTCTCTGAGGTCTGTGTGAGCCAGGTTGGCTGCTCAGGGCATGAAAGGGGCCCCAGATGGACTTCTGCCCCTTCTTTCAGAGGTTTGATTGTGGGTGACGGGAGCAGCTTCGGTGACTGGGCTGATGCCTGCAAATCTTTCTTCCTGGATTCCACCCCAGCTCCCTTCAGCCCAGACGTGTAGGGCACCTTCCAAGATGGTGTGGGATTTAGAAGGCAGTTTGGGCCTCTGACCCCAAAGGCTCCTTGTGCATGGGGGCATGTTCCATGCAGCACAGCTAATAAGCTGTGCCCACACATGTGCGGACAAGCATCGAAGTCAGGAGTGCAGGCTGAGGGGAGAGTGGCTCGGGAAGCCTTCTGGAGGGGTGGGGTCCCTATGGCTTCTGAGTCCACCCACATTGAAGCAGGGGTGCTCAGAGGCCAGTCTCTCTCAGCACCCAGAGGCACGGGGAGTGACACCTGTGAGCCTTCCCCCGCCACCATGGTGGGGGGGTCACTGAAGTGCAGGTCTGGCCACCTCATGACACTGGAGCATCTGTCTGCCCAGAATGCTTTAGGGACTCGCAGAGACCCACCTTTCTGCTCCCTCCATGCCCTTCCATCGCTGCTTCTCCTACCCCCACCGGAGGCTCCTCTCCCCTCTGCCCCTGGGAGTCAGCTCACTCAGGGTCCCTGCTGTGTCCACTGCCCTCCCTCCCCGTGAAGCTTTGATGCGCTCCCTGCATCTGACAACTGATAATGGGCCGGACTGTCTGTGGTCAACTCATCACCACCATCCCTTTCCAAGGTCGTCTCTGTGGCTCTGAGAGAATCTTGGAACTACAATTCCCAGAACACCCTGCTTCTGGAGCTACATCTTGTTCTGGCTTGGTATTTGGCAGGTGGAAGAGAAGGAAAAGTCATTATTAAATCTAAATCAGATGAAGAGCTTTCTATAAAATGCACACCAGACTTTGAAGACTTTCTAAAAAAAAGTGTTAAGTATCTAATTAATAATTTTTATATTAATCCCATATTGGAATGATAACCTTTTCTGATATATTGGGTTAATAAAATATAATAAAACTCATTTTGTCTTTTTTGGTACTTTTAAATGTGACTGCTGAAAAATTCTGAAGTACATAAGTAGTTCACGTTAGAAATCTACTAAACAGAGCTGATTTAAAGTATGCTTGGGGGCCGGGTGCAGTGTCTCATGCCTATAATCCCAGCACTTTGGGAGGCCAAGGTAGATGGATCACTTGAGGTCAGGAGTTCGAGACCAGCCTGGCCAACATGGTGAAACCCTGTCTCTACTAATAATACAAAATTTAGCCAGGCATGGTGGCTGAGTCATGAGAATCTCTTGAACCTGGTAGGCAGAGGTTGCAGTGAGTCAAGATTGTGCCCTTGCGCTCCAGCCTGGGTGCCAGAGTGAAACTGTGTCTCAATAATAATAATAACAACAACAACTACATAAAAAAATAAAGTGTGCTTGGGGATAGAAGAGGCACACACAAAGCCCTTCATAGCCACATGAGACAATAAATAGTATTACATGTTGAATGGAGATTACTGCCACATGAGCGTGGTGCAGACATTGAGAGTTAAGAGCTCAAGGGATAAAAGGAGGTCCCTGAGGGCTCCAGGTAGAGAAGAAAGGATGTGAAGGTAGGATGGAACCCACTTTGGAGTGGGGATGTGGACAGGGAGGACATGGATGGTGCAAGGGTATGGAGGCCATGCCAGGCAATGGATTCCACGGGCTAAGAGACGAATAACTCATGCCTGGCAAGATGCAAAGGCCACATGGTCTCAAGCAGGTGGGAAGAAATGGGTTATCAACTCCCCTGTGTCTACAGTCACAGCTCTATTCATTCTACCCATTGGTGCAAAGTGTTGGGTTAGGGAGGCAGACAGAAAAAGTACCGTCTGTGTGCTGGGAACATGGGCGTCATCTCCTAGGGTGCCTAGATCACAATGCACACTAAAACCCAAGCCCAATCAGCTCTTCCAGCTCTGTCTAGAATGTGGCTCCTTGAGAAGCCATGTTTTCTAGGAGTGCTGGGGCCAAGGATCTAGGCCCCATGGGGCAGGGTGCTCTCCCTGGTCCCAACCCCAAGGGCCCTGCCTCCTTGCCCCAGCCTTGTCCCAAGCCATTTCCTGGTGGTTGTAGACTTGAGTCAGGGGAGAAGTCACAGGAGGAAAAATGTTTTCCCTTCTGAGCTGAACTCACTCCATCTGTACATTATGGAGTATGGTGGAGAGGTTGTGGGGAAATAGGAAGCGGCCGCTTGAGAGTGCTTGTGCTTGCATTTTGCAGAATTTCTGGCATGGTTGTCCCTGGTCAGCTTTGAATCTGAGAAAAGCTGGGGCCTCTATGGCCGTGGCCTGGTCCTGTGGGACGGGCCTCCTGGAGCCAGGTGATCTGGAAATGAGTCCATATTGGATGTTGAGTCATTTTGGGAAGGGCTAGCTGTGGTTTTCAGGCCCCGATAAAAGGCTGCCCAGATATTAGACCAAGAGGAGCCCAGGGCCTGCCAGGCCAGAGCAGGTGCCAGAGCAGGCTGTGCTGCAGCCCAGAAAAAACTCTGATTCTAAAACCCTGACTCTAAAAGTGCTTTGCCTCCAAGGGTCTGCTTGTTGAGGGACTTTTGAAAACAGGAGAGCTTTTCCACCATTGCCTCAGGGGCCTGCGGCCTTGCTTACAAAAAGAGTTAGGCAGCAGCACAATACATCCTTCCTAAGCACCTATCTTCTACCCAACCCAGAAGCAGGCACAATGCGGGGAACCAGGGGAGGAGCCGAGGTGCTTTAAGGCTCAGGGTAGAAAGAGCCTTCAGAGGCCACGGAGACCAAAACGCCTTTGGAAGTAAATATTCCTGCAGCCACATCCCTGGCTATTAGATGTGGTCTTTGTTCTCTCAGAACAAACAGTTTAACAAAACCGAAGACATAAGCGGTGTTTGGGGGACCGGCAGGGGGTGTGCAGCCAGGAGTGAAAGCACCAGGGGGTCCTGAGCCCAGGATGACCAGGGTGAGAGGGTGACCCGTGCGTGGGACTGCTGGTGTGAAATGGTTAAATAATAATCATAAAAAGACAGCAGGAGGAGGAAGAGGAAGGGGAGGGAGAGGGGAAGGGGAAGGGGAAGGACGAGATGATTAGAGAGGCAGCAAGTTCCTCAACCCCCACATCGCTGCTGCCTAAAATCCCACCATTACATTTTCATTTTGGGGGATTAAGTTTTGTGTTCTCTATTTTTGTCTTTCAAAATGAAGCTTTCCTTGCTGAGAGAACATGTGAGGGCCCAAATAGGAATAAGAGGCTGAAAATCCAATAGCAGGCAGATACAAGAGGAAGGAAGACAAACTCCACCAATGTCACAATTTTGCCGGAGATTACCCAGGTCGGCCAGCTGCTGGCCATGTCAACAGACAGGCTGTGGAAGTGCAGAGCAGGCAGGGAAATCGCTTTGGCCTAGGGGGTCAGAGGAGGCTTCATAATCTGTATGTGTCTTTACCTCCATCGATCTCAGGAAAACCCTGCCATTTCCCTTTGTTTCTCTAAAGTTCAGCCCTCCAAACAAATCTCCAACATCTAAAGAGAAGCAAGGTCACTCTGACGCGATGGGTTCCTGTTGGCTTATACAGTTTCTTCTTTCCAAAGAGCCTGCTGGAGAAAAGCCCTTGAGATTTCACAGCGAAATTGTGAAGATCCTGGGCTCTGGAGCCAGGCCCCACCCGCTGCATCTATGACCTTGACCTCCATCTCTCTGAAGCCCAGTTTCCTTATTTGTACAATGGAACCAGTGAGAGTACAGTCATGCCTTGGTGTCTGTGGGGGATTGGTTCTAGGACCCTCACTCCCCTGAGGATACCAAAACGTGAGGGTACCCAAGTCCCTGATATAAAATGGTGTAGTATTTGCATATAACCCACACACACCCTCCCTGTGTTTTAGGTCATCTCTAGACCACTTCTAGCTCATGCAATGTAAATGCTATATACGTAGCATAGTTGCTGTCCTAAATAAAGACTGCATTTCCCAGCCTACCTGGCAATTGGCAGGGCCATGTGATTAGGTTCCGGCCAAAGTGACATTAAAGGGAGGAGAATTCCCTTCTTTGCTTCCTCTGGCTCACTGGACTCTGGAGCCTATACACACAGGATAATGACAAGGAGGAAAAGTCTTTTCATGTTTATCACAGATGCCACCATCTTTTTTCTTTCTCAAATAGGGTATTATCAATCCATGGTTTGTTGAATCCACAGGTGCAGAGCCCACAGGTGTAGTGGCCTGACTGTACTTATTTCATAGGATTGTCATGACAGCTAAACTATAAAATGCACTTGAAGTACTTAGAATGCCAGGGACTGGGTGTGGTGGTTCACACCTGTCATCCCAACATTTTGGAAGGCTGAGGTAGGAGGATCAATTGAGTCCAGAAGTTCAAGACCAGACTGGGCAACATAGCGAGATCTCATCCCTACAAAAAAATTTTTAAATTAGCCAGGTGTGCTGGTACACACCTGTGGTCTCAGCTACCCAGGAGGCTGAGATGGGAGGATCGTTTGAGGCAGGAGGTCAAGGCTGCAGTGAGCCGTGATCATACCACTGCCCTCCAGCCTGGGCAACAGAGCAAGACCCTGTCTTGGAAAAAAAAAAAAAAAAAAAGCACCCTCGGCATTATGCTTGATAAATGTTGTTATGATAATCACTGATTTTCTCCAACTAGCCAAAGAATTCCTTGTCTACTGAACCAGAATGATCTTCACATAGTTCTTCCATTAATTCGATACTTACTTTCTGGGCACCTCCTGTGAGAGGGAGGCTTTTCTGTCCTCAAGGAATGTACAACCCAAGTAGGAATGGTGAGACATCATCTCAAAGAACTACAACATGGTACAGGGGACGGGAACGTGTGTTGAACCTACAACGCTCCTGTATCAGTTAGGATTAGATCTGGCTACAAGCAAACTGAAAAGCCAACAGGATGGTGTTTTAAACAAGGTGAGTTTTTCTTCTTCTGTAAACAAGCTCAAGGGGCAAACAGTCATGGGCTGGTGTCATGGCTCAACCCTCGCTAAGGATCCAGACTGTTCTCAACATGTGGCTTCTACTCCAGGACCCAGGATGGCACTTGAGCTCCAGCCTTGCTGTCCTCATCTTCATCCTTGCCATCATCTTCATTACAGCCACACTTCCAGAGCTTGTGCCAGGAACCCTTCTACTCACTCTGCAAATATGAATTCATGTAATCCTCACAGAATATCTACTATTATGTAGATATTCTTTTTATTCCCATTTTACTGCAAAGGAAACTGGTACAAAAGATTAGGTAACTTGTCCAAAGTCACACAACTCATAGGTGGCAGGCCCAGGATTTGAACTCTGCCAGCTTGGCTCCAAAGTCCAGCGAGCTGGAGGAAGCACAGAAGGACATTCTTCTAACTTTAATGTCACTTTGGCCAGAACCTAATCACATGGCCCTGCCAACTGCCAGGGAGGCTGGGAAATGCAGTCTTTATTTAGGACAGCAAAATCCTGGAGTTCTATTACTGAGAAAGATGGGGAGGGCGGGGGTGGTGGCTCACACCTGTAATCCCAGCACTTTGGGAGGCCAAGGCTGTTGGAGCACCTGAGGTCAGGAATTCAAGACCAGCCTGGCCAACATGGTAAAAAGCTGTCTCTACTAAAAAATACAAAAATTAGCCAGCTGTGGTGGTGTGTGCCTATAATCCCAGCTACTCAGGAGGCTGAGGCAGGAGAATTGCTTGAACCTGGGAGGCAGAGGTTGCAGTGAGTCGATATTGTGCCATTGCACTCCAGCCTGGGCAACAGAGTGAGACTCCATTTGAAAAAAGGAAAAGAAAAGAAAAGAAAAGGAAGGAAGGAAGGAAAAAGAAAGGAAAGAAAGAAATACATCCTAGGGACCAATCTGCAGTCTCTGGCATGGACCCCTTAAATGTACCCTTTCACCCAAAGTGAGACACGCTCAGCAATAATTCTGGGTAACATGAACCCTCCCTTTGCCCCTGCTAGAGAGGCTAGTAAGGCCTGAACTGGGACAAAGGAGGAGATTTCGTCTTTCCATGTCAGACTGTGGTATATACCCTTGAATGCCATAAGCAACGGATTCTAGCCAAGTCTGCAAGGCCACAGTCTACAGAGAGAATAATTAAATGAATGTTCAGAGAGCGAACCTACCCAAGCAATATTTCCAGATGCCAGTGCCAGGGTTTCCTGAGGTGCTGTGCATTCCTGCCTCTGGACACTGTAGGGCCCACTCGTATACTTGTGATAAGAATTCCCTTGTTTGGGCTGGGTGTGGTGTCTCATGCTTCTAGTCCCAGCACTTTGGGAGGCCAAGGTGGGAGGATTGCTTGAGATCAGCCTAGGCAAGATAGACCCTGTCTCTAAAAGAAAAAGTAAACTCCTCTCGTTTGATCCAATGGGTTTTGAACATTGTCCAATTGCCATCAAAGAATCCTAACTTCACAACCAGGCAGATATGGTTCAGATTGCTACTGGTGTCCAGGAAAATGCTTGAGGTAAGGAGGAAAGAGAGAGATTGATGTGGCCCAGGGGAGCCTTCGGAAGGATCAGCAGAGGCTTCATAATCTGGGGTGTTATTGCTGACACATTCAGTGCTGACCACAAGCTGGATGCTGTCCCAAGTGCCTTACACGTAGCCTCACTTAACCTTCACACTATCCAATGAGGCAGGTGCTGCTACCATTGTCTTCCTTTTACAGATGAGTAAACCTAAGTACAGAAGGTTTACAAAACTTTCTCAAAAGGTCGAATCTAGAGGAAAGTGAACTGGGTCTTGTACTAGTTGATCTGGCTGTAGATTCCATGCTCTTAACCACCCTCTGGGTTTGAGCATTTGGTGTCCGCGTCTTAAATGAAGGGCAGGAGTGTGGTAGGCAGAGACAGGACTCCATGCCAAGCAGGAGGCACGAGAAAGCCACACCATGGAGTCAGTAAGCACAGGGCCGTCTTTGGGGGATGGTATGAAATCTGGAACAGCTGCAACACACAGGTTCGCAGGAGCAAAAGGGGGCCACCATGCTGGAGAGCAGGGTTGGGAGCTGATTCAAGGAGTGGTCTGTGAATCTGGATAACGAGTTTGGTCCTTACTTTGGAGCCAGTGGGGAGCCCTCCAGAGTTTTTTTTTGAGATGGAGTCTCTGTTGCCCAGGCTGGAGTGCAGAGGCACAATCTCGGCTCACTGCAACCTCCGCCTCCCGGGTTCAAGTGATTCTCCTGCCTCAGCCTCCTGAATAGCTGAGATCACAGGTGTGTGCCACCACGCTGAGCTAATTTTTGTATTTTTAGTAGAGTAGGGTTTCACCATGTTGGTCAGGCTGGTCTCTAACTCCTGACCTCATGATCTGCCCACCTCTGCCTCCCAAAGTTTGATTATAGGCGTGAGCCACTACATCCCACCCCCTCAAGGGTTTTTAAGTTGGGAAGAAACACACTCCGGGCCTGGCTTTGGGACAATCTCTCAGGACGTTTGGTTACACTTCAGGAAGGGGACAGAAAATCAGGAGGCTCCTGCAACAAATGACCCGGGACTTTGAGGTGCCTGTGAGACACCTTGGTGAAGAATCTTAGAAACACGGGAAAGAAGTCAGGACTCAGATGCAGCTCTGAAGTTATACACATGGTGTGACCGCTGAGGCTGCGGCCACACATGACACCCCCGGGAGAGGGACCCTTGACCAGATGTGGTGGGAGCAACAGAGCGAGCAGCCAGGAGACAGGAAACAGTCTGCTTGGTGGTCCAAGGATCGCCAGGAACGCGCATGCCCGGAAGACCAGAGCAGGCTTTCTAGGAGGACGGCAGGAGCCTCGGTGCCAAGCATGGCAGGGGAGGAGGGCAGGGGGTGGCTAAGGCTGTGACTTCTGTTGGGGGCCAGGTCCTGTCAGATCTCCCACAACCTTCCTGTTGCCCTGTCGATGGCTCAGTGCTGGGGATCTGCAGAGTCACACAGTTGAGGTGGAAAATGGCCCCGGGGACTGCAGCAATTCGCTGCTCACAAACAGATTCCAACTTGTCCATTAAAGTGCCTCATTCCAGCCCCAACACCAGGCCCGTTCACACCTCGGGTGAGGAGTCAGGCCAGCCCTGATGATTAGCACATGGGTCTGGCTCTGTGGGGAGTGGCCTTCCCTCCTCAAGGAAGCCACTCAGCCTTCAGAGCAGGGTCACACTGTCCGCACTGCTTCCAGAGAGAGGCAAGGCCTGGCGACAGTCTGTCTGCCCCAGCCTGCCCTGGACTCCACGGGGCAGGCACCATCCCCCCCTGGAGAGAGTCATGTAGAGCTGGTAACAGAGGGCAAGAAGAAGACTTCGCTGTCCAGCCCCAGCCCTGCCATTTAAAAACCGGGTGACCTCAGGCAAGCCCCTCAGCCTGAAATTGTTTCCTCTTTTGTAGAAGGGACAATAACTCCCGTCTGGGGAGGGTGTTGTGACAGTTACATGAAACACGCATGTGAAGCGTTAAGCTCTGTGCTGGGGGTGTGGCACTCAATAAACCAGCGTGATGGTTGTTACTGACTGTCCCTGAAGTCTGGCCTTCTCCAAAGCATGAGAGGCACAGGGGACTCTACTGAGGGGGAGGTCACAGGACAAGACCTCCAACAGAACCAGTTGCCTCTCTCCTCTTCTAGCCTCTCTCTTTACCCTCCCCTCCTCTTTTCTGAAGAGGGATGGGCCCTCTGTCCCTCCTTCCCCTCCTCCAAGCTCAGCTGAAGCAGGAGAGTCCCCTTCATTCCTCAAGGCCCCCAGCCAGCGACTTGGAAAACCTTCCAGAGGTCTCCAGGAAATGGGGCAGGGTGAGGACCCAGCCCAGGAGGCTGCCTCAGGCAGGGGCAGGGCGGGGCAGAACCAGCGGGCCAGTGAGGAAAAGGCAGAGGACAGGTATATGCTCTCACCTCCCTGAGACACTGGCATAGGGGCTGACGGGCAACCCACAGTGTCCTCCCAGGTATTTGGTGTGTAATCCTTTTCTCAGCTCCTCTCCCTCACCAGGTCATCTTTAGGCATCTGTATAAATGTGGAAGCAGTTGACCAATTTTGAAGCAATGCAGAATTCTTCACACTCTTGCTTAATTTTCACCTCCGTGGGCTGCCGACCCCCCACGCCCTCAGCTCAGCCCTGGCTGCACTCACAGCACTGCAGTTATTTTCTTTGCTGCTGCTTCTTTCTTTTAAAATTGGGACTGGAGCCAGGAGGGAGAAACAGACTGGAGATCTGACTGTGCCCCTTGGGGCTCCTTCCCTCCACCCTCTTTGCTGGAATCTGCAGGATTATGCGTACTGAGCAGCTGAAGGAAGGCACTTCCCGGTGGAAGACATCACCCTCTTGCCTCCCAGGCCCTCAGCCCTATCACCAGTGTGAGGGAAACACTGGGGGTGGAAGATGCACCCCAAAGTAGCAGCTGAGGCAGACAGAAGCCACATGCATTCCAGTGCCTCCATCTCCTGCAGTTACACACACACACACACCCTGTGACAAACGTCATTAGCCTAGGTAGTGACTGCCAAAATCACTCATCAGCCACCACTGAGATCCAGGTGGGGCAAGAGAGGAGGGGTGCGATGGGTGGAGCTTGTAATTGGCAGCAGACTGAGTTCCTGCCTAAGAAGGTGGTTTTTGTTGTTGTTGTTATTGTTTTGTTTTGAGATAGGGTCTTGCTCTGTCATCCAGGCTAGAGTGCAGTGGCATGATCTTGTCTCACTGCAGCCTCCACCTCCTGGGTTCAAGCAATTTTCGCGCCTCAATCTCCTGAGTAGCTGGGACTGCAGGTGTGCGCCACCATGCCCAGCTAATTTTGCATTTTTAGTAGACACGGCGTTTCACCATGCTGACCAGGCTAGTCTCAAACTCCTGACCTCAGGTGATACGCCCACCTCGCCCTCCCAAAGTGTTGAGATTACAGGCGTGAACCACTGTGCTCAGCCTAAGAAGTTTTTATAGTGTACAACTAAGGAGGGAGACAAGATTGGCAGATGAGAGTCGTTTAGAAACAGAATAAGATGTAGGATTTTAGGCTGGGCATGGTGGCTCACGCCTGTAATCCAAGCACTTTGGAGGCCAAGGCGGGCGGATCACCTGAGGCCAGGAGTTCAAGACCAGCCTGACCAACATGGTGAAACCCCATCTTTAAAAAAAAAAAAAAAAAAAAAAAGATGTAGAATTTTAAAATCTGAGGTTCTGAACAGACACTGGGGTCTACTTGAGGGTGGAGGTGGGAGGAGGGAGAGGAGCGGAAAAGTCTAACTATGTATTGGGCCAATACCTGGGTGATGACCACTGTGACACAAGTCCACCTATGTAAACACCTTCACATGTACCCCCGAATCTAAAAGTTTTGAAAAAACAAACCTGATGTTCTGGAAACAAGTCCTATTGGTATTCACAGGGACACAGACGGGAGCCCTTGTGTTCTGGAAGGGCTTCGAGCCAGGCAGGCCTGCTTGGTGTCCATGGGGGGCAGGGAACACAGCTCAGACAGGGAGGCAGAGTGGCTGTTCCCCAAGCGCCTGTCATGAGACTGTGTCTCAACACAGTGGCTTAAGTGTGACCAGCTGTGGCCTGAGTAGGCCAGCTCCCCTCAGCGCTTCTTGGGGTTTGGCGCTGGGGGAGGCTGTGGCTTGGGTTTTGTTTTTCCCATGAGCACCTCTGGCCACCGAGCATAAAGCTGAAGCCACCCCATCCTCGGCTGACCCCATAGCTCTTTATCTGCCGCTCCAGCTCCAGCTTCTTCTCTAGTTATTTCTAAGCTTGTCCTTTTCTCTCACTGGGCAGGGGCCCCTCTCCGAGTCCACTATGGCCCTCATGTTACCGAAGTGACTGAGCCAGTGTGTAACAAATTCTCAGAATGGATCTTTGCAACTCCTGGTGTTTGTTCTGTTTGCTTTGATTGGGAGTTCTGGGGAGTGGAGTGGCAGAAAGCTGTTGGCTTTTGTTCTCCAGCTCCCGACCATAATCCTCAGTGGGGTCCGGGGCCCTGGGGCCTCTAGCCCCATTCCTAGTACGGGAGAAGCTTAGACTTCAAGGAGGGTGTAAGCAAACACCTCACTTATCTACCCTCAAACCTCCCATGGAGGTAGAGGCCCAGAACCCTAGAGGGATGGGGTCTGAATGTGGAATAGGTGATGTGAGCTCCCCCATTTCGTGGCTGGAGGGAGGAGGGTAGATCATTGAGATCTGCAGTAGGGGAAGGTGGTCTGGCAGATACTGAATTTTATGGTCAATGTAGAAGAAGCCTCACCTCAAGGGACTCCAGAGGGCTTAGGGGTTTAAAGAGCTTGGGGGCCCCCCAACACCCCCCTTTCCATCCACATCATCGACACAAAGGGCAACCAAGGGCTTGCTCCTGACACACTTAACCGACCTCTCCAGGGTGGAGGCCAGAGCCCCTGGAACCATTCCCAGACCCACCCTGGCCAGCGTGGCCCCATACCACAAGCCTGCCAGGGCATGGGAGGAAACCAAGAACGTGCCACCCAAGATAAAGGTTTCCGTCTGATTTTGTGGTTCAGCTGAAGCCATGTTCTTAATTGTCCAAATAAACAGTTTTCAGCCTAGAGGCCAGGACACGCCAAAACATGCCACTTCCTTTTCCAGCACCAACTGGGTGCTACCAGCACTAACTCGTCTTCTAAGTCACGGCCAGCACTAAGGAGTGCCCAGTGGGCCATGGCAGCCTATAAGAAGGGCTGACTCCCAGGGCTGGGCAGCGGCTCTTCGCTAACCTGGGGGTGGGAGACCTAGACTGCAGCTGCACCACTTACCCGCTGGTGACCTTGCTCAAACTGCTCTTTCCCTGGACAGTGGTCTCTGCACCTGTAAAATCAGAGAAAGGCACTGGGACAATCAATGCTTTTTAAACTGTGGCCTCTTCAGCATCAGCATCATTTGAGAACTTGCTAGAAAGACAAATTCTAGGCTGGGCATGGTGGCTCATACCTATAATCCCAACAATTTGGAAGGCCCACGCAGGAGAACCACTTGGGGCCAGGAGTTTGGGACCAGCCTGGGCAACAGAGCGAGACCCCATCTGTTCAAAAAAAAAAAGTTTTAAAAAATTAGCTGGGTGTGATGGTGCACACCTGTGGTCCCATCTACTCAGGAGGCTGAGGTGGGAGGATCACTTGAACCCAGGAGTTCAAGGCTGCAGTGAGCTATGATTGCACCACTGCACTCCAGCCTGGGTGACAGAATAAAATCCCCATCTCTAAAATGAAATGAAAGGAAAGGAAATACAAATTCTCAGCTTCTCCCATTGAATCAGAACCTCTCAGGCAGGGCCCATGTTTTTGCAAGCCTTGATACCAGCCAGAGTCAGGAGATCCATACCTTTCTGTCCAGCTCAAATGCGAATGAGCCTTATCTCTTTACCCATGAGAACTATTTATTTCACAGGTAATGTTGTACCCTTAAAAGAAGTATCAGCCCTTCCTTGAGAAAGTTTGACAGCTCACCCCTGTATTTGATTGCAGTCAGCTCTAACGTTAGCCTCAAGAGAGCTCTGGCCTTGCACCTAGTGTGCTCTGAAATCTGCCCTCGGCTCAGGACTCCAGTTTCTGGGCATGGCCTGGGATATAACAGCCCAGAGGGGCCAGTCCAGGCAGCTCCCAGTGGCTATAACAACGTGGCAGAAGTGGCCTCCAGACAGATCGCCAGGAGAGCCCCCACCAGATTCCTGAAGAGCCACAGAGCTGAAAGGAGGACCACGCTGACTCCAGAGATTATCGGGGCCAAAGAACCAAAATAGATTTTCTTGTGCCAGCTTTCTCTAAAAAAAAAAAAAAGAAAGAAGTTCCAAGGAGAACATCCCCTGTATAGGACACCAGCTGTGAGTATATGATTCTGAACTTCTAAATGCAAGCAAGGCTGCAGGTCCCATGCAGAGACTTAGGACACATCCCTTCCTCGCTTAGATCCAAATCTCGGATCCATCCACAGCAACATTCTCAGACATCTGAGTGTCCCAGCATGGTGGCCCAGCCTCAGCAACTGGTCTTCAGTCCCTTTGTTTCTGGGAAACACCACCTCTGGAATTGGCACAGGCCAGCTCATACACTGCAGACTCTGAGACTGCAGGGCAGGCCCAGGTCAGGGAGGCCGAGACACCCAAAGACCCAGTGGGGAGAGAGGGCCGATGGGAATTTGGGCAGGAGCGGACACGCCTGGGACCATCATGGCCCACTGGGCCCCGCTTGGCCCGTCCAGCACAGGGTTATTCAGCAGGGCTGCTCCCTGGTAGGGATGAAGAGGGGTCTGTAAAGCCAGCCCCTTGGTCCAAGCAGTGCCACCCTCCTCCCAGGGCCTGGTCGCTTAAACCCTAGGGCTCATTTCCACTGAAACCTGCTTCCCCCCAATCCCCAGTGCCTGCCTGAATGAGAAAGCACAGGAGTTCCCAGCAGTCAGGAAGAGGCAAATTTCGAGGAGTGGAGCAGGGGGAGGGCCCAGCAAACACACCTGTCACCAGGAAAGAAGGGCTCAGACCAAAACTCATTTCCACCTAAGAGCCTGTGGGTCTGTTTTGGGAAAGCTGACTAATCCTGTAATCCTGCCCACCAGGCAGTTTTTCTGCCTGGCTTCCAAGTGGTAGAGGGAGAGAGCCCAGGGCGACTGTCCTGCTGAGGAATGTATTCTCTTAAAGGGGAAAAACCACCTTTGCTAGGTGTGGTTTGTTCCACAGAGCCCTGGTTTAGAAGCTGTCTGCTGTTGTGCCTTGAAGGTGATACCTGTGCCTGGCAGCGGCCAGCCCCCAGTGCAGGTGACAGGGACGGGGCCATGGCAGAGGCGGCCCTGCCTTCTCAGTGGGCAGCAGGACCACCATGCCACCTCCCTCCCACCTCACAGCCCAGATCATCGGCTGGAGACCAGCCACTCAGCCTCCCCAGGAGGCTCTGCCTCTGCTGACCTACTGCAAGGGACCCTGGATCTTCACAGAATCCCAGGAAGCCGTGCCCTGGATGCTGTCTGTCCCTGGGCGGGGTCCTGTGGCTGCTCTGCCAGTGGGCAATAGGAATGAGCACTGACAGGAAATAGATGCCAGTGTTTTCATTCAGACAGCTGAGATGGGAAGTGAGGGGCAGCCTCAGCACCGTGCAGAACCTGTTCGGAGCAGAGACCCTCAAGGCAGCTGCCGGGCGCCAGTGCAGATGCATGCTCACCGGCGCACACTGGAGAGCACGCACATGCTCCCCTGTCCCACAGTGACTTCCACTCGCCAAGCCAGCCACATATACTCAATGACAAATGAAGACCAGAGCCCCTCCAAGTCACAAAGTCACCAAGTTCCAGGAAAGTGGTGTGCAGGCTAGGTTTGCCCCTCTCCTCACGTTGCCTCTGTTTGAAACGATCACTTCAGAGACCTGTTCTCCTGGTGGGGTAGAGGGGAGGAGGTTAACATGAAAATATGTATTTTTAAAATCACACTTAAGAAGGAAGGAATCCTGGCCAAGTGAGGGGGCTCATGTCTGTAATCCAAGCACTTTGGGAAGCCAAGGCAGGCAGATGACCTGAAGTCAAGAGATCAAGACCATCCTGGCCAACATGGTGAAACCCTGTCTCTACTAAAATACAAAAATTAGCTAGGCGTGGTGGCAGACGCTTGTAATCCCAGCTACTCAGGGGCTGAGGCAGGAGAATCACTTGAACCCAGGAGGCAGAGGTTGTGGTGAACTTAGATGACACCACTGCACTCCAGCCTGGATGACAGAGCGAAACTCTGTCCCAAAAAAAAGGGAGAAATCCTTTTCAGATCATGTAGACAAAAGAGGATGATAGTCTTATGATCAAATCTCAACACCACCACTCAGGGAGACTGGCTGAGGGGAAAGCCCCTGGTTCCCTCCAGTTCTGTATCTTCAGGTGAGAGGTGGGAGAGGGAAGGAAACTCTTAGGGTGATTTTCTTGGTACACTCACAGTGTACCAAGAAAAAGGGCAGCTTTTTCCTGTGACTCTCTGGAGTCCTCTTTAACACCTCTCAGCTCATCTGTCCCCAGACCTCATGCAGCCCCTTAGCAGGACCGGACAGCCAGATGGCAACATACACATACTGTCTCTTTAAGAGAGTGGCCTGAGAGTTTGTTTACCAGGGGATTTGTTTGGGTCTCAGTGGGAGGAAAGGAAGAAGATAAAAGCGGCTGGGACACTAGAAAGAAAAAAGAAAAAGCCAGAATGCAGAGAAAGCAAGATGAGAAAAGCACATCCAGAGGGAGAATTTATTTTTGCAGTGAGGGTTCCAGTCCCCCGGGGACTGTTTCCACAGAGCCAGCTAACCACCAAATGCGTAGGTCGGGTCAGACACAATTCCCTGAGTGGGTCCGACAGCAGCTGCCCTGGGCTGTGCTGAAAGCGCACTGCAGAGTTCGGGCAGAGCCAGCACTGGGTGGAGGTTGTTGGATTGGAGGCTTCCTCCTGTCTCCCCCACAAGGAGAGGGTTGGACTGAGTTTGGAGGGAAGACAAGGTGAGGGGCAGCCTATCAGAGCCCAGTGACAAACCTGGCACATAGGGACTGTGGGTCAAAAGTTCTCAGCCTGGGCTCCGAGTATGGGCATCAGGGCACCCAGGAACCCTGGAATTGTTTGCCCTTCCATGGGGTGGGCCCTTGTGCAGAGATCAGTAGGATTCCTGGGAGGGAATCCACAACTTTCACAGCTTCACAAAGGGTGTTCGGGACCAGCGGGAAGAGTCTGGTTGAGGCTGGGCCTGAATCAATCCCCTGAGCGCAAGGTGGGCCACTGGACCTCAGTGCTTTAGGTGTGCTGGTGCATCTGTTTCTCCAAAAGCTGGGAGCCATTGTGGGTGACCAGGCAGAGAAATGACACCAGGAGAGCTGTCACTCCAGAGGCCGTGACTCGAGGGGCAAGGCCGGGAAAGAGAGAGGTTTGGGGGTTGCTTTGCTACAGTCCAGAGCCCAAAGAGGGTGCTGTTGACACTGGGTGAGTTTGCAGTACAGAGAGCCCCGAAGGCTTGTCCCTAATCTCTGATGAGACTGTTCTTGGTACCAAGCAAGCTCGTCCACAAACAGGTCAGCCACAGCACACACATGTGCTCACTTGCACACGTATACACGTGTGTACACAGCATTCCTTTTCCCTGCCCAGCCCACCCTGGACAGCAGGGTCACTGCAGAGCTGGACCTGCCCATACTGGCTCTTTGAGGCTGCATCTCTGCCAAGAGGACAGTGGAGGGCGGCGGGTCACACTGAGGACACTGTCTAGCTTGACCTCGGGCAGGCAGAGGCAAACCAGGCCCTTCTCAGGCGACAGCTGGGCCCCTGTGTTTTTAGAGCTGGATCCAGCGATATTCCTTTATGTCATGTTCTGAGGATTTGAGGAGCAACCTGTATATTGGCCTATCCATGCTGCTCCAAGCTCCACAGCACGGGCTCCAGAGCATCTCCTGCAGGTGGGCTGAAGGAGGAGAGCAGATGGGACAGCGATCAGGGCCTCCCAGAATGCTGGACTGGGTATTCACATCGCTGTCAGTCTTCACACTGCCCACTCCTCTGGAGTAAGGTACCACTGTCCTCACTGTCACATGTCACCAGAGGGGCTCTCTACTTAGAGAAAAAATGCAATCTGTGCAATCAGACCCCACACACCAGGAAACTGGCTGATTACACTTGCCTCAAAGACGAAGTGAATGACAGCAGCCTGTATTCACGTTTGCTTTCTCCTGGGGAAGCCCAGGGCAGTTGTTAGACTTTGCACTTCTCAGGGACTGGGGCACACACCCGAGAGCACCCCTTTGGCACCGAGCAAGTGCTTTGTTTGCACAGTGCTTGTTGGGTAAAAGGATGGATGGACCACATCCAAGCCTCTGACCAGTTCTTCCTTTTCGGGGTCTCTATCCCAACCAGGACAGAGGGGTAAGTAGAGCAGACAGGGACCTTGAGTGGTTTCCCACCCAAAGGAGAAGGAGAGGAAGAAGGAAGAGTAAAACATCGATTCATCAAATCAAAATCCCAACGGCCCAGAAACCTCTCAATGGGGCCAAGCCAGGATTGAAGCAAAGTGTCCATTTGCTCAAAACCGCCTGAGGCGCCCCGCTTTCAGGGTGCCCCTGTCAAGCCTCTGCTTGCTAAATAAACCAGCCTTTGTGTGTGTGTGTGTGTGTGTGTGTGTGTGTGTGTGTGTGTCCAGGACAAGCAGAATGGGCTGGGGGAGGGGAGGAAGATCCGTTTGTCAAAATAGACCTCCTGAATGCTTTTAAGGGCCTGCAGTTGGGTGAGTAAATATTTTCCCTTTCAGATGAAAGGTGCAATCATCGCCGTTTTTTAATTACTTTAATTAGAAAAGATTGCCTTAATCTTTTACTTATCTGTACTATTGTGGGAACTGCCAGAAAATGAAGTGCAGGGAAAACAGGTGGAGTTTGACCTTTGCTCTAAGCATCTTGAATTTCTTCTAGGCTGGTAATTAAGAAGAATCAGGGGAAGTTCCTCGCAGAATCTAGGAAACGCAAACACACAGGATCATAGATACAAGGGCACTCTCCCTTGTACTCCTGCTCTCTCTCGCGCGCACACACACACACACGCACACATACGCACACAGGCGCACTCTGATGCACATGTGTGCACATGAGTGGAAGGAAAACTGGACCCTGATATGGCAAACCAGAAAGTCCCAACTTGAAGGGCTGAGTTTCTGCTCCCAGCCCTGAGAGGTGGCTTAATGAGTTTCCCAGGGTGGCCTAAAATGATTAATTAAGCAGACAGCTCCCCACCCCCTCCCCAAACAACGGAAACCAAGTAACGGTCTGTTTAGGGAGGGAGAAGCGGGGCCCCCCTGAACACACACACACACTCCAGGGGCGGTTGGGGACATGGTGTAAGAGCCGGGAGCCCCAGATAAGGGACGATAGCAACGGCCTGTAACGGCCATCAAGGCTCGCCCTGGCTGGCAGGGCTGGGCCCAGGGAATGGCCTCCCTCTGCTCCTGGCCCTGACCTCCCTGTGTCTGGCCACTGCCCACACTCAAGGGGACCCTTGGCAGGATGGCAAAACAGGCATTATCTCTGGCCTCCCTCCCTCTCGGGGCACCCTACTTGTTCCCATTTCTATTATGCATCATTTTCTGGGCTCATTGTTGAACACTGGGAGAGATTCTGGAGGCTGCCTGGGTGTCGACCCACAGACATGGGGCACAAACATCAGGGAAAGAGGAAAAGAGGGTAGAGAGGGCCCCTCTGGGGCTTCCAGAATCACCTGTGTCAGGGTACCTGCTCTGTCTTTCCAGCCATCAGGGCCCCCAGAGCCCAGCAGTGAACAGTCACTGTTAGAACAAAGAGGTCCTGAGCTGAGCATGCCCAGTGCTGAGGCTGCCGCAGTGAGCAGCGCTCTCAGGCGCACAGGCCTGCCTGGGGCAGTCAGCTCTGAGGCAGTCCTGGAATCCGGGCAACTCCTGGACACAAACGTGCTTTGGGAGCTTCCTCCCAGGGGGTCTGCTTTTCAGGGGCACCTCCACTTCCTGCCTCTGTAACCCGGACCAGCTGCTCCCCATGGAAGCTTCCCTCAGGAGGTGCCCCAAGGATGCCACTGGGTGCTGAACATGGGTCCTCTTTGCACAGACAAAGGCATGGCTTCCTTTCAAATCAGTTATGTCCGCTGGAGACAGACAAGGACAGGGGCACAGCTGGGGTTTTGGCGGCTGCCCTGGGTCTTGTAAACAGGCCTTGTGGAGGGCACAGGGGCTCCGATGCAGGCCCAGGCCCAGCCAGCCTGGAGGGGAGGTAGGAGGTGAAGGTGGGAGCAGGCAGGGCGCCAACAGTGTTTGCCTTTCTAAAGCGCTCCGGGTGCTCAGGCTGGATTTCCAGCCTGGTGTTTGCAGCCTGGGCAGCCACTCCTCAGTCACGTCCTCCGCCTGTCCACGTGCCTCTCTCGACAGGTGCCCGCCGGTATGCGTGTGTTCGGCCTGTGTGTCTGACCCCACCTGTGGGTGTGGGTCTCTCTGTGTCTGTGCCTGGCCTTCCTAGAAAAATGAATCTCACCTCCAGTTTGTGTGAGCCTTTCTACCTAAAACATTTGCTAAAATAAACCTGCTGAAAAAGCTTGCACAATGATTTTTTTTTCTGTCCCTGGCATGGGCACGAACACCAGCGGGTCTCCATGGTCAATTTAGGAAGCTTGGGAAAACATTGCTTGTAATTAAAAGTCTAGAAGGGCCTCAATTAAGGCAGTGTTCGCCCTGCCGGGCCCCGTTCCCAAAGCCCACTCGGCAGCATTCCTCTGTTGGCTGGAAAAGGCCTTTGATTTGAACCAAATGTTCAGCAGCCACACTGGACCGGGCCCTGGCACTGCTGTGCTGCTCGCTGCTCAGGGCACAGGCCAGCCTCTGCCCCAGGGCCTGCCACAGGAGACTTTGGGCTTTGTCCCTCCCTCCTGACTTCCCAGCCCTTCTGTGATCTGAGCTCTGACTTCTGGAGGGGCAGACCTCCCTGAAAGATGGGGGCGCCGAGGCCACCCCAGCACCCCTCCCCACCCAGGGAGGTAGAGCTCACACTAAGAATTAGAAGCCACAAGTCACCAAGGATGAGGCAGCAACGGTCAGTGTTGTAAGGAGGTAGGGTTCAGGGTGCAACACGCAATAGCCCAGTACCCCTTCTTACTCCACAGAGGCCACCTCCATCTGAGCAGAGGCCTGGACTTACCTACAGCCACTTCAGAGGGCTCCAGACCCCAGAGAATATAGGACCTGGCAGGAAGGGGTCAGGAAATAGCATGAGCCTCTGACCTCTTTAATCCCTAGGGATTAAAGATACACAGCTCAGCTAACTGGGACGGGGCCCAGGGTGCCACGTTTGCCCCCCTCCTGCTGGTGAGGGTGAGGCAGCCAATGACACAAACAGGGGGGCAGAGGGCACTACTTCCTCCCTGGAGCAAAGGCTCAGGCGCTCAGCTCGGTGGGCGGGAAAAAGAAGTGCTGAGTCAGCTCAGGTCCACGCAGCTCTTCCTTCCCAGGACAGGCACACGCTCACACACCCCCACCCCCCGCTTGCACACACGCTGGATTTACAACCACACTTGCTGCCTTTCACAGATGTGTACCCATGTTCTCAGGGTACACTCTCTCTTTCCTTCCCCCCCTCACCCCCCAGTCCTCAGTATCCCAGGTCACAGCCACCCACACAAACACATTCCTCCACCCATTGCACTGGCACCCATTCACAGTCACAGCCATGGCTACAACCAGACACGTCGATTTCATAACAAGGATTTGCAGGCCCCACGAAGGACTCTGTGGTCTCCAGCAGCTCTGGCCCCTCTCAGTGAGGAAGGAGCTCCAACGAAGGCAGAGGGTCCAGGGTGTGATGCCAGGACCAGGCCCTGGGCCCCATGGGAGTGGGGTGGAGAGTGCTCAGACATCTTAGGAGGGCGGCCGAGGTGTCCATCCCTGCAGGCCTCACCCCTGCAGCAGGGGAATGGCAGGCGAAGGGTTACAGGCTAACTAGAAAAAACAATTACTAACGGGAAAGGCAGCACATTCCAGCCCTGCTTAGCAGAGCCGCCAGGGCCGTGGGTGGTTCTTGGATTATGCATTTCCTTGAAAACAAAAAGGAGAGTTCAGGGCAGTTCAGCTGTGCCCTGAATCTCACTCCGAGGCCTTTGTCCCCGGCCCCTTCACAGCCCGCGTGCCTACACACACGCACACAGCCCCACTGGCCCGGCCACATGTCCACTGGGAAACGGAGAGCATGAATACCCCCTAAAGCCTGCAAGAAAAGCAGGGGCAGATGACAGAAGAATTGAAGAAGCGTGGGGAGCAGGGAAGGGAGTTGGGATCTCGGAACCCCTGTTGTCTGGAAATCTCCCTTCCTCGGGTGAGGCTGGGAATGTTGGCTCATCCCCTCACCAGCACTGCATGGGGCCCCCACGCTGTGTCAGGCAGTCCCAGGCCTGGGGTTCCCCTTGAAGGCTTGGAAGACCGGGTTCCCCTATTTCCCCCGAGGGGTGCCTTCTACCCATCTGTCTCAGACCCCACACTGTCTTTCCTCAAAAATCTGGTCTCCTGATAGACTCTGATTACCATATTTATACGGAGGAGCTCGAGGCTGATAAGCCTCAAGGGAGACCCTCCCAGGTTGCTTTACTTTTTTTTTTTTTCACCCATGACACAGCCTCAGGAGGTTTTGAGGACATGTGCCCCTTATTTACTTTTTAACCAGGACAGAGATGTTGGTTGGTGCCTTCCTGTGGAGAACAGGAGGGGACAGCCATCTTGCCATAAACACAGAACAGAATCTCATGGCCTCTGAGTCTGAACAGGTGTGTCCTATGCAACTCTGTCCCATACCCAGCTATGCCCTCTAGCACGGGCTCCTCTGAACCCTGCCAAGGCCCCTGTGAGTAGGCAAGGGAAGCATTATAGCCCCATCACAAATGGGGAAACTGAGGTTTGGAGAGGGATAAAAATTGCTCAAGCCGCTGGCTCAGGCTGCCTCCTGCTTAGAGTTCCCTCCCTCTCCTCAGTGCTCTGAATGACTGCCTCGCTCCCATCTTTCAGGTCTCAGCTTAAACACTGACCCTCCAAGAAGCTCTGTGGCAACCTATCTGCAACAGTCCACCCCTTCTAGCCTCCCTGTTGTCTCCCCTCCAGCACATGTTGATTTGTGGGGAAGGGGGGTGAGATTGCACTCTCTCACCCAGGCTGGAGTGCAGTGGCGTGATCATGGCTCATTGCATCCTCGGCCTCATGGGCTCAGGTGATCCTCCCACCTCAGCCTCCTGAGTGTCTGGAACTACATGCGTGTGCCACCACACTCAGCTAATTTTTGTTGTTACTGTAGACATGGAGTCTTGCTTTGAGGTCCAGGCTGGTTTTGAACTCCTGGCCTCAAGTGATCCTCCTACCTCGGCCTCCTAAATTGCTGGGATTAAAGGCAGGAGAACACAGTAGGCACTCAATAAATATTTGTGGACTCTATAAAGAACTGAATGGCTCTGTGGCTGTGGTAGGCAGAGCCAGGCCTGGAATCCTTGAAGCCTTGGCCTCCACTCAGATGCGTGGCTGCTCTTGTCCATCAAACTCCCTCCAAGACAAAGGAAAGGGGATGCTCAGAGGCTTTCTCCATTCCAGCCCTGGGCTATACCCCAAAAAGCCTAAACTTAAAAAAAACCAGATTCCACAGTTGAGCTGCATGTGGATTATGCAAGGACCACATGCCCGGTAGACAGGGTGTGCCAGAGGCTTATACCTGATGGGACCTCAAGAGAGGGCCAGGGGGCCGGCCAATGCATGCCATGTAGACATATTCACTCACTCCATTCCGTGGACATTTTCCAGGTGCTGAGCATGGTTCTCAGATCCAGTGCCTGCCTCAGAGTCTGCATAGGCTTTTTAGGAGAGAGTCAAGAAACAATGCTGGTGATGCCATAAACGCGGAGCAGAATCTCACATCCAGCATAGGATGAGATGATCTGGAGCGTCAGGAACAACTGCACTGAGAGATCAGAAGGGGTCTGAGAGAGGGGCTGACCCAAACAAGCCTGCCAGGCATAGGGAACCGCACGTGAAAGGAGGAAGGACGAGCCTAGCAGGCCTGGGACATGCCAGCAGTTCACTAGGCCTGAATAGAAAGCTCCAGCATGGGGAGAGGCCAGAGAAGGGGCTGGAAAAGGGATGGGCCCAGGTCACAGGGGGCAAAGTCTGCTGGCCCAGGAAGCCAGGGTTTCATAGGGTCGATAGTAGGGAGCCTGCCAGGGCTTTAAAGAGGGGAGAGACATGAGCAGCTTAGCATTTTAGAAAGTTCACTCGACTGAAATGTGCAGGAAGCACAAACCAAAGCACAAAGACAAAACAAGTTCAGAGGATGTGGCTGTCACCCAGGTGAGCAGAGAGAGCCTGGACCTGGGGTTGGGGGGATGGAGATGAGGGGACAGATGTAAGAAATATTTAGGAGAGGTGAGAGAGACTTGCGATGAGCTGGCATGGGGGAAGAAGGGCCAGGCTGGCGTTAAGGATGAATTCCAGGATTCTGGACGCCTCGGCTGAGTGGAGGGTGGTGGTGGGAATCCAGGCAGAGGCTGGTGTGCTGGCCTTGGCCATGTGTCTGGCTGGCTGTTAGGAATGTGGGTCTGGAGAGGGAGGTGCTGGGCTGGAGCCCTGGAGAAGTTGGAACCCAGACGTCAGTGCTGCCTGGGAAGAGGATGAGGCGGGGAACTGGAGTGCAGTGAGCATAGTGGACAGTGCCTTCCCTCTCTACTAAGCCAAACCTTAGCATGCTTCAAGATCCACTCACCCCATCCCAGCCCACACCTGTGTGGGAGAGCATTCAGCAAAGACTGTCGGGAAGAGGGGTGCTTGCAACAAGGAGGACAGTAGATTAGGATGGCAGAGGGCCTTGGATGTGGGGAGCAAGGATGCAGAGGCAGGACTGCGGGCAGCGGACACATTTCAGAACTTAAGGGGCCTCCCTAGTCTGGGCCCAGTGTCCACTCAGTGGCCCATGGGGAGTCCTGGGAGCAAGGGCTGGATGCTGGGAATGACCATTCCTTCTTGGGACGAACACCAGCCTACTCCAGCACAGTGACCAGATGCCATGGGGACACTCGAAACCCCCACAGGAGCTGTTACCCCAGGGCCTGCCCAGCCTGACCCTGGGAGGCGCCTCTCCAGCCTCTTGTTTCTTTCCACAGTGGGCTCTCCAGGGGCTGAGTGCTGAGGTGCAGGAAGAAGCACAACTCCAGAAGCAGGAACCCTGAGCTGGGTGGCGTTTGCCACTCCCTTTCCTTTCCTTGGTGTTGAAGAGTGAATTTCACCTCCCTTCTCATTTTCCTGTTTGTATTTTGTAGGACACACCACCTTGTCCAGCCGCAGTGGCCACAGTCCTCAGGCATCTGTCACCTGCTCTTAACCCTTCTTTCTGAGGATCCCAGTAGTGGTCAGGAGAGGCCCTTGGGATGCCCCTTTGCATCCAAGACCCCAATACATTCCCACCTTTTTCCTGGTCTCCACACTCTAGCTCAGGCCTCTGAGAATTCCCAAGAATTCCCAAAGAAGGGCCAGGGACAGGGCTATAAGTTCTCTATAAGACCAGCAGATGCAGCTGGTTGATGCCCCTTGACTCTGCTGGTGGCAGGGACATTGCTGGTGGCCAGCAGCTGGTGTTCCGCTCTGTCCCATGGGGCTGTGCCCAGCCAGCCTCAGATACCAGCAGATGGCCCCATCCCCTCTGGGATGCCCTGTCCCACTCATCTGGACCCCGTTTCTGATATTGTCTCCTTATCTCCCTCCTCAGATTGGACAGCCCCTGTGGACCTGGGGTGCAGAGAGTGACCCAAGCCTCTGGCCATTGAGACTGCCCATCCAGGTGGAAATCACCACCTTAATTACCACGCCCCCTGGCTGCTGGAGGAGTCTCACAACACACAACCTGCATAATATGCCAGCAGCCACGTTGGGGAGGCCCCTGGGAAAAATGCCCATGCTCCCCCAGCCATTCTTGGGGCCTGGAATAGCAAACCAGTCCCTGTCCTTTTGAGGCACTGCAAGGCCTAGGGCCTAGAATGTTCTTTGGCACAAGAGAAGTGGATGCTCAGGGGTCCAGTGGGAAGAGCCAGGTACCAGCCCAGAAGTAAGTCTAGCCAGGGAGGCGGCGTGCCCAAGGAACACTCCTGGCCTGCTGAGTCACAGGCATCCCTTAGGGCCCAATCTCTCACCTGCTCTCTGTAGCAGCTCACCTGGGACTCACTCTCTGCCAGCAGGGTGTCGGGCCCTTCAAAGGCCTAAACCAGAGAGGCTGGAGGGGCTGAAGGCGGGAGCCAGCTGGCCCCAATCCTGTTCCCTCTGGAGCCCCTCAGTCCTCAGGCCAGCCCTCAGGTGTGGCTTGTCTCCTTCTTAGAGGCCCCAGCAGACAGAGCTCCCCACTCTCACCCCACCGTCTTGTCCCAGAGATGGAAGAGAACATGGGAGCAGCCCT